ATATTTGAAATTTGTATTTTGAAATCCTAGGCGTCAAATGCGGGGGGAATCTTATTGGAATCTTTGTCGTGCCGTTTCGTCTTCCCGAGAAGTTATCATTATGAATCATTTCGGCTACCACGTGTCGCTCCCTTATTCGTCCAGCTGGGCGGAACCTCCCCTATATAAAGCGAGGTTCCCCCTTGAATTTCCTCACTTGCAAATCACTATTCAAAAATCTGCCCGATTGCTTCTACTGTCTCGAGTCCTCCGAATCTTCTAGTCTCAAGTAAGTTTCCTTTTCCTTCCCTTGTTTCTTTTAGTCATGTCTGACTACGAGGATATCCAGAACCCTTCTGTCCATTCTTATGGTTCTAGTGCCCAGTCTCAGACCTCCGGTTCCCCATCCTCTTCTTCTTCTTCTGAGCGCCAGGCTACTTCTCCATAGAAGAAGCCGGTTGATGCTTTCGCTTGTGCTCCTTCTTCTTCCGTGGCACAAGCGGTCATGGTTGGCCGGTCTGTGGATGACGGCTTCATTCTGCTAAACGACCGGTTGCTCTTAGAGCAACCGTCATACATGCAGAAGGCTCAAATCCACGAGCTGCCAACCTGATGCCCGATGGTTACCAGTTGTCTTACCGGGAAACGTGGAAGAATATTATTTCTCTCCACGCCGGTAAAACGATTGGGATCCACTACCACTCCATCAAGGACATGGGTGAATTCTCTATTCACCCTTTCAAGGTCCTTTTCCTTGAGACATACGGGATCATGCCCGGACAGTTGGCCCGAAACAGTCACCGTATGCTCAATAGTTTCATCAACGTCTGCCGTTTTCTTCGCATCCCTCTCTCTCTCTTTGTCTTTTTGACCATATGTTTGATGTCCAGCCCGGGTCCAAGGAAACCCTTGGATTCGTGATCGTGTCCTCCCATCAAGGCCAGGCATTCCTCTCCGGTCTTCCTCCTTCCAATAGGGGTTGGAAGGATAAATACGTTTCTATCAAATTCCCCCCGGGCGCTTTCCCATTTGCCCAAAATGCTTGGCGGAAAATGATGAAAGTCCATGTCAAGCCCAGGGAAACTGACGACCAGGCCGCTTGGGAAACCAACCTCTGAGGCCGGGGACACCTCCACTCGCGGTCCCTACAACGTTGGGAAGTGGGGGGGTCTACCCTGGTCGGGAGACTGATAATGAGCCAGAGATCATTCTGGCGGAGGCGATCCTAGATGCCATCCCCATCCGTCGCGTTAAAGGACCTAAAGTTCCGGTCTCTGCCGCCGCCGGTTCCTCACGCCGGGGGAAGAAGAAGGAGAAAGGTCCAACCCTACTTTCTTTCTTAATTTGCCTATATATTTTTTGTTTTTTTTTTGCAACTCTTTCTTACTGACCGGTCTATATTGCAGTGGTGAAGTTCAATTCTAAGTTTGCCATCCCCCAGATCGTTACCACGGAGGAGCCCTCTACCGCCCAGCCCCTCAGCCAGCCCTCCGGTCAGCCGCTTTCACTAGATGAGCAGCCGACCCAATCTCATCAGGGCACCAGCCAACCCATTCATTCCGGGGAGATCTACATCAATATGGACACTATGGAGTTTGACGCACTCTTGATGGAGACCGGCCATATGTTAGAGGCCTATCAGGAAGGCCAATAAGCCGAGGGGGGCTACGGCGAAGAGGAGGTTGCCGAGGAAGCCCTCTAGAGGAAGAGGCGGAGGACCCAAACTGTGGACCAGCCTGCCCAGTCCTCTGACGCCGGCAAAGGACGCGGCGAGCCCCGGTCCTTCGCTCTGATGGTCTGGTGGGATGAGGAACTCTTCCAAGCCTTCTGCTCTGATTTGCAAGAGGTAACTCCTTAACCTTTTTCACATCAATTCCATTGTATTTCCAAAATTATTTTTCTGAAATATTAACATTTCCTTGAAGCAGGTCCGCCGGATCGGCCAAGAATGGTTTACCCGGCTGGTGAAATCTAAGGAGGAGGAGAAGGCCCGGCTGGAGGGCATGATGGTGGCTTGTCGGAAAGATGCCCAGGCAGCCCATCAGAAGGCGGAGAAGGCCGAGGAGAAGTTGCTGGAGCATTGCGCGGCTTTCCGCAAGCTCTACACCAAGCACCAAGGGTTGCTCAAGGCCTCCAAAGAGGCCGACGCTCAAGCTTAGGAGAGGATCCAAGAGCTTGAGGGGGGAGAAGGCACAGCTGGGGGAGGAGGCCGCCAAGCTGAAGGAGGAAGCCGCCTGGTCAGCTCAAGAAATCGCCCAGCTGAAGGCGGAGCTCGAACGGGAGAGAAGCGACCGGGCCACTTATGCCGCCGATTAGGCAGCTGTAGAGCCCGAATAGTTTGCTGCCCGGGCAATCTCAAACCGGGAAACCAGCATCCGGTTCTTCCAGGGGCTGTATAAGCATGAAGAATCGCCAAGGTCATCGACGAGATCGAGACCTTTGGTTTTGAAAGCGGCCAGTACCAAGAGCGCCAGGCTCTCTATGGTATCCCCGAGAAATGCGTTCAAGGATTTGAGCCTAAGACCTTCTCCCTGCCTGAGCTCCACGACGAAGAGCCAGTCGCCCCCTTCGAAGGGATCTAAGCCCGAGGCCTTCTCCTTCTAGTTTAATTTTTATTTCTGTATGTAATGATCAGCCTCCGAGCACTTTTTGTAAGACATTTTGATACATCAATGAAGTTCTCATTTCCATATTGTGTGCTGAATGCCTGATTACTTTATATGATTTGTGTTTTAAATGATTTGTCCAACTTTAAATTTACCACCGGGTAGGTTATTCAGTTACAGCCCGGCTGAAACTTCCCGGTCTAATTCAAAGTTCACCCAAGTCCTTTGGTGACCGGGGAGAGATTGAATCCGACTGATCTCTTCCCCCAAACGAAGATTGACCCTTGATGGCAGTTTACCATGTCCTTTTCGAAAGGATGGTTTTCTGCCCGGGTGTAAGCAAAGTCGGCTTATCTTTTGCATTGGCTTTCTGCCCGTGTCGAAAGATAAGCATTTTGATTATTCGACCCAACCAAACCGGGGTGCTCTCCCTTTTTGGTTATGTCATTTAATTTCGTGTCAGTACGAATGAAGGGTTTGACCGGTTCGACTGGTCGTTCTTTTTTTTGGGTGTCCAATTCGATTGAACATCTGATCGGTCAGGTTGGTGAGTGACCACTTTCTAACTGGATTTTAAAAACAATACTTCATATTATTTATTCTCATGATTTATTTCAATAAATCATTTCAAAGTTCATATCATGAACAAATTTTTTAATTTATCCTCGATTTGGGTCTGTACTCAGGTTCCCAAGTAAGGTCACATAATAAGTCAACATATTGGATTTATCTTTATGAGACTTATCCAGATTTTGATATTGGATATTAAAACATATTTCATTTCGGCCCAAAGCCCAATAAAAATTATTATTATTATTATTATTATTATTATTAAAAACAATTTGATTACTTGAATAATTATTCATTAATAATTTTAGGGTATATTTTGGGGCGTTACAAATCCATAATCTCTCTACAATTTCATGGTGGATCTCGAGAATAGAGTTTGCACTTGTGGCCGATAGTCTTCTCATGTAGTCCCATGTGTTCATGTTCATGCTGTTATCCATTCTAAGCGTCAAGTTGATGACAGTCTTATTCCACCAGTATACTCCGTTCAAAATTATCTACAGTGTTATAGTGGAGTGGTTCAACCGGTTACTTTTCAACCCAATTTAAATAGTTGCGACTTTCGTGTCAATATTTCAATAAGGCCGGAGGGAGAGATTCCACGTTCAGAAAGGTGCAAGTGTAACTGATACGTTGGTGACATGGACCAGAGAGCGACTAGAGGAAAATGAATATATACATCTAGCACAATAAATGTAACTTCATTGGTTCTTTTTGTTAGATGTATCTCGTTCAATAAAATATTTCTTTCATAATTTGTTTTGCTTATCAAAATGTTTAATTCGTCTTCAATTTTTTTAGATTGTAAATGCTTATATTGATGAAGTATTTGTAACACACTTCCCATACAAAATAGGTAATTATTTATATTATTTAAAATAATCGAGTAACTAAAACCCAAAAAATAAAAAATTTTGGTATTTCAGCTATTGTTCTTCCACCTCAAGTGCGAAATACTTCCTCTGTCCTAAAAAGATATTTTTGTTTCATTTTTAACGCATCCTATAAAACTTTTCTACCCAAATCTAAAATGCCTAAAATTAATCACATTTATTCTTTATTGTGGGTAGAAGTTATTTTGAAAGCTTTTTGTGACATTTGAGGTATGATAGAAATGTTTTATGAGATGCGCAGAAATTGAAACAGGAACATCTTTTAGGGACGGAGAAAGTATGTAATTATGTATTACTCTCTCCGTCCATAAATTTTTTCTCATTTTCCTTTTTGGGCGGTCCAATTTTTTTCCCAATTTCCTATGTTGGCAACCAAATTTTAATAAATGTTCTATTATACACTTACTTTTTATCTACACTATTTACTTCATTCCATTGTATCAAGGTAAAATATAAAAAATCTTTACATTAAATAACTTTTCTTGATTTCCATGCTAAATCAAAATGAGAAATAAATTTGTAAAGGATGGGAGTATTTTAAATAATTTAGATTCTAAAACCAAAAAAAATCTTTACTTGAGATACAAATTTGGATAAAGTTATTTGTACCCCAAGGATTTGTACCTCATTTTGTACACCGTAGGGATGCACCAACATTTTGTATTGGTGTAATGTCAATTTTTGTTAACGCACCAACACTTTGTGTCAGTGTAAATTTTTGTTAACGCACTAACACTTTGTATCTGTGTGAACCATTAAAATATTGGTGCATATCTTTGGTGTATAAATAGGGTACAAATTTTGAGGTGGGTAATACTAGAGTCACAAACAAAACACTCACAAAGTGTACAAACTTACAATTTGTGAATTTATTTTTTATTTTTTTAATTATTTAAGACCATAATTTGAAACCATTACTTTATATATTGGATAAGTTTGTATATTTTGTAAATGTTAACATTACCCTTTTGAGGAACATGTAACATCCTACTAAAAATTTCTTACAAAAAATACTTCCCTCTCAACCTGCGGAAGATTACTGACAGTGCTCCGGACCCACTCTGGGTCTCCGTCACAATAAAGCTGCTGGTCTTGCCGTGACTTTCAGACTAGCAGTTCTCGGATCCAGCGTCAACGGCTCATGGGCGTCGTCGTGTTCGGAACCAACATCGCAACAGTTCTGGTTCTCACACCGCTCTAGCCTTTAGAGTTGCTGTCAGGTTTGGTTTCCTCTTCTATGTACTTTTCAAAGCCTCGCGATTTTATCCCACAACATCTAAATTCTACCGGAAACATTCCATCAATTCTTTAATTTCAGTGCTGCGTGAATGGCTGCCCCCTGCATTTCCCTCACATGCTTCCCCTGCAAACCAGCTTGCGGTACAGCAAAAAGGGCAGTGTCCCCATCCTCTCTTTTGCAGCCGCACTTCACAAATCCTCAAAAGTTTCCATTTGTTGCCGGTTCTTGCATCAATCCCTCAATTTCCAGGTCCCTTTGTCTCTGTATAATCTAAAATCCACTAAGGAGTTGCAAAATCTTGTTTGTGAATTGATCTTTACTGGCTTTGCAGGATATTTAAGGGCATTTCGGCCATGGTTTCAGAGCCGAAATCCGCGGTGTCTGATTTTTCAGGCATTGATATCTTCAAACTGACTTACTTAGAGGTTGAATTTTTATACGGATTGAGTGTGTTTTATGATCCGTTTCTGATTCTTCATTGATGTAGAATATCTATTTTAATTCTCAAGTTTAATTAGGGAAACAGTTGGTTGTGGGAAGTAGGAGGGGTGAAAATATTGGTGGATCCCATTTTGGTAGGTAATTTGGATTTTGGAATTCCATGGTTTTATGATGGTTCCAAGAAGTTTTTGAAGAATTTTCAGGTACTCTCCAATGTTTCTTACTATCACTGTCTTTTTTGGTTGTAAAATGTACTCCATAGTAATTATGTTCTCCCTCCAGCCCATAAGTAATGTCACAAAACGGATTACAAGGAAAAACCTCACACTTTTTAAAACCATTTTAATTAAAACTTAGTATTGAAATAAAAAAAATGACACTAACATATTTAAGAACTATATCAAAAGATCTACAAAACAAGGGGTGACATGACTTTTATTTTATGAAATGATAAATGAAAACACATAAATAAACAAAAGTTATTGACAATCCTAGATAGTAACTTGTGACATTACTTATGGGAGGGAGTATTAAATATACCCAATTCTTATTATCATTGTGAATTTTAGACAGTAATGATTTTCCTTTATATGCTTTTTATTATTGAATTTAGACTAAAAAGTCACTTGTGGTTTTCGAGCAGATAGATGATCTTCCAGAAATTGATTGTTTACTAATTACACAAAGCCTCGATGATCATTGTCATCTCAAGACTCTAAGGTCCCTCTCTCAAAAGTCACCAAATCTCAGGGCAATTGCAACTCCTAATGCGAATATGCTATTGGATCCTCTTTTTAAGAATGTGTGTGGTATACTTCGTTCGCTCATATGTTTTATTTTATGGCAGACATAGATTGAGGTTCTTTTTCAGATCCTCGTTTTAAAATCCTTATTTTTTTACCCGAGTCGGGGTTCTTTGCAAAAACAACCTGTCTACCTTTTCTAGTTTGGGGTAAGGTTAGCTTACACCCACTCCCTTGACCCCACATATGTGATTCCACTGCTTGGTTGTTGTTATTGTTGTATTTTGATTGTTACGCTAATTGCAAATATCATATAGAAATGGGAACTAAAAACAGCTATCACTAGCAGTGAAAATAGAATTTTTTTGTGGGAGACTGGGAGACAACAACAACAACAACAACCCAGTTAAATCCCACAAGAGTAGGGTCTGGGGAGGGTGTGTGTACGCAGACCTTACCCCTACTCGAAAGTAGAGAGGCTGTTTTCAAAGAGACCCCTGGCTCAACGTCGAAAGTTGCATTGCTTGACTAACTGCTACTTCCTTAATTAAAGAAGCGCAGACAGTTTAGAGATCCATTTTGATTTATTCCATCACACCCCAAAGCCAAAATATGGTGAAATTTTGGCTCCATCGGAGACTGGGAGACACTTTGTTTCATTTGTTTTGGTTAATAAGATGCCCAACTATCAATACAAGCTTGTATTTGAGACAAATCACATTTTTTAGTGCTATCTCAATTATGTTTGATGTTCTTGAAACAACACTGTCATGTAGTGCATTCTCTCTTTCGTACAAAAAAAGTAGTGTTTTCTCTTAATTTGTGAGTTAATTTGTTTAAATAGTCACGGCAAAATCATGTAGGTCACATACTTGGAACCTGGTCAGGGCTTTGAAATTGAAACAAAAAATGGCTTTACAATTAAAGTGAAGGCAACTCCTGGGCCAATTCTTGGTCCTCCTTGGAAACGACCAGAGAATGGGTAGGCAATATTCTTATTATGCTGAGTAGTTTCTTTACGGTATATGGAAATTGTGACTATTTTTTTCTACCGACATACGTGGCCCAGTTATCTCATCACTTCTCCACAAGGTGTGCTTATGTTATATTATGAACCCCATTGTGTCTACAACAAGACCTTCCTTGAGAAGGAACGGGCAGACATTGTTATTACTCCTGTCATAAAGCAACTTTTACCAAGCCTTACGTTGGTTTCTGGACAAGAGGATGCCGTACAGCTTGCAAAGCTCCTCTCTGCCAAGTACAATACAAACACTACTCAATTTTGATGTCTCTACTTCTCATTTCCTATAACATAGAAAGCGACATCTCATTGTGTGGTTGATTTTTACAGGTTCATTGTACCAATGAAAAATGGCGACCTTGATAGCAAAGGGATTCTTTCTAGCATTATTAAGGCCGAGGGAACGATGGAATCTTTCAAGGTACATTTTTCACTATTTCATGCAACATATAGTACCTTATATCTTTGTTTACTTCATACCAAATCTGCTCTCTTGAAAAGATTTTCACACTGCCCTAAAATTCAGCCCCTAGGTGCCTCTAAGTCAATTCATCGGGATAGGTGCTCCATTAGGCACACTAGATCATGTAAGTGGGTAGCACCAAGGCATGACACAATGACACAGTAAAACAGTTTTCCTTTTCTGAAATCTAGGATATGGTACGAGGGTTAATATGTGTACATTACAAATATAGTGGTATTTATGAAAATATCTTTTATACCTACTGTACTTATTTTCTAGTATTATAAGAAATAAACCCAATAATAGGGCATTCTATATTTGAATTCATTCCTCAAATGATGCTAGTATGCACATTTTATTCCTGCTTAGTGCCTTAGTTAATGAGAAACACGTCTTTATAGGGATACACAGTTGTATAACTCTTCTTTATTTACAGAAACAGCCCCAAAACATTTTCCAAAATTGTTTTAATCTCTTTGAAGCTTTCTAATTCCCTTATTTGATAATGTCCACAAAGTAGATTACCTTATCATATTCAGTATGAACCAATGCAAATCTATAGGATGTTTGTTTAAAACTTTTTTTAAATCTTTACATGAGGGTTTAGTAGCATACGAAGTACTTCTTTTGCATCAATAACTTTAACCGACATATACTATCATCGACCTATGAGGTGCACTCGAAGGGATAACCATAAAGCTGTTTTCAGAAGCATTTGGAAACTACACTATCATAGTTTGCATTGATCACACTAATGCAGTTACTTCTAGCAAAATTGAAGGGCGGGTCATAACACAACAGTGATCTGTATGGATAAATCTTTAAAACACCTTGAAAAGTCAAATGGCAAACCGGGATACCTTTTGGTGATTGGTGCTATTAGTAGATGTGACCTAGTATCATAAGCTTGAGGTGTTTTGACCGTCACATTACTTTAGATATTCCACATGAAATTGCTAGAATGAAAATTCTTTGTGTTTACATTAAATTTAAAACTGGAAGTTGTTTTTGATCCGTTCAGAATATTTCGAGGGTGTTTAAAATCATATTTTGAACATACGATCATCACATGCATTTTCCCGGGTTTATTCAATCATCAAATGCATCAATTTTATCATAAAACTGCATTGTATTACCCTCTTTCTTCTTCTGTCAAGGTAAAAACAGAAAAAATTTAATTATGAAAGAGGCCAAAAATCTTTATCAAATGCCTATTGTTTCAAAGAATGTTGCTAGTGAAAATTACCATTTTGCATGAGCTTGGAAAAATGCATGTGATGATTGTATGTTTAAAAATGGGATTTTAAACACTCAAGAATTTTGAACGGATTAAAAGCAGCTTCGAGTGTTAAATTTCGTTAAAGTACAGAAATAATCTTCAACCTGGCATTTTTGTCTGAAACATCTTAAGTAATGTGATGGTCAAAACACTCTGGCCTTATGAATGCTAGGTCAAATCTACTAGTAGCACCAATAACCAAATGGTATTCTGATTTGCCATTTGATATTTCAAGGTGTTCTGGAGATTGATTCAAATAGGTCACTACTTGTATCACGGCCCGTCGATTCATCTCGCTTGAAACAATTGCATTAATGTTACTAATGAAAATTATGGATGATGTAGTTCCGTATGCTTTTGAAAAAAGCTCTATGATTTTCCTTTCGGGTGTACGTGATAGGTCCGGGGATAATACATGTCAGTTAAAGTTATTGATGCAAAAGAAGTATACATGTCAGTTAAAGTGATCGATGCAAAAGAAATATGCTACTAAAACCTCGAGAAAAGATTTAGGAAGTGCTAAACAAACATCGTGTTGGTGAGCATGAGTTTTAACGGCATATGAAAAGGTAATCCAAGTTGTGGACATGATCAAAATTCTTTGTAGATGAGCGTTGTTTTTTCTAAATAAGAACAAGGGTATTGGAAAGCTTCAATGAGAAATTTTAAGGAGCTGTGCCAGAACATTTTTACATTGTTACAATTCATTCGCAGTTCAGCAGTTCTTAGACTTTGATGATAAGAAGCCACAGCTTCATGGAAGTATGTCTTCAATGTATTTATGCAGGAACTTTTGTCAAAGGAATGGCCATCTGCAACCGTTCTTGAGCCTACTCCTGGAGTGCCTCTTGATATATTAATTTCTCCCATCAATGAAGAATCCTAATGCCCAAAGAAATGTTTATGTAATAATGTTAAATCCCCAAACTGCTGTAAATTTATTTAAATCTCCAAACTGTTGTAAATTTATTTGATTATTGTATAAATAGTGTTAAGAATAAATTACGTAAATGGTCCAAGGTAATAAGCGGTTTTCCATATTTAGAGCATGTCTTTAGAGCTTAAACTCTTAATTTTCAGTTTCTTCTAACTTTTTAAAATTATTTTCATTTTCTTCAAACTCTTTTTACTCTCCAAACAATTACTCTAAAACAATGTATTTTTAATGTGATAATAATAATAATAATAAATTAATAATAATAATAATAATAATAATAATAATAATAATAATAACCGGATAACCGGTGTCACCGTACTCCGGTGTCACTAGAACTCCACCATAGTACGGTATATTTTCATTATTATTATTATTACAACTATTATGTTCATAATTATAGCTTATAAATTATTTCATTTTTTAATTTTTTCCATGTCACTATTTTTACGATTCACGCTCTTCTAAATTGATGAAGAAAATATTTTTCAAATTTTATAAAATTGTTTAAATTCAACATATTTTAGAGAAAAAGACTAAATTAGGAGTAAAATATGAAAAATCTTTCAAAATATGAGTTTTATGTTTTTTTTCTAAAAATAAGAGTTACAATGGAAATACAATGTCAATCACGAAAGAATAAAAAAGATTTGATTACATTATGTAGCATGATTGATATTTAAAATAAAATCCTGTAATATATAAAGTGTAATTATAAGCATATTATTTTATAATAAATACCGCATAAATAAGTTGAGGTGCAATGTAACTACAATAACTTTTTAAAATTTAATATTTTAATATTTATGCTAAATTTATATTCCAATTAATTTTTTTTGTGAAAGTAGAATTTTGTATATGTAAAATGACAGTACTTTTTTATCTTAAAGATTTTGATTAAGGTAACGTGATTATAAATATAATAATAATAATAATAATAATAATAATAATAATAATAATAATAACCACAATTAGAATGAGAATAATATTAAAATTAAACTTAAATAAATTTTCTAAATTATTTTTTGATTTTCCATTTTTTTCTGATTTTTGCAGTTTTATCTAATTTCTTCTAGTTCAATTTAGTTTTTTCCATCTTTTTGTAGTATTTTCCAGTTCTTTCCAATTTTTTAGTTTCTTACAGTTTCTTTCTAGTTTATCTAATTATTCCAGTTTTTTTTAAATTTCTTTCAGTTTTTTTCAGTCTTTTCCAGTTTTCATCCAATATCCAATTCTTTTTTTCGAGTCCTAAAAAACAATCCCTTAGTTTCTAATCAATTATTGTAGCGTAGTATCAATTTTTTTCAAGATCAGTCTTTCGTCATTCATGTTGTTATATACCTAATGATAAGATTAAAAAAAAGTAAATTTCCACCCCACGTTCTAATTAAACTCCCGCCTTCATCCTCATATACTCTATTTGCAGGGTTAGTGTGTTGCGTTCAAATCCTTTAATGGAAAATTATTTGATCGATCACTTCGTCTCCTTCCTCTGCGCAAGTCAGGTTCTGTTCCTTAATTCCTTCTCCGATCAGCGTCATAGAGTTCAGAATTATGGGTCTTTAGACTTTCATTTGACAATTCTAATTTGATTCATTTAATATATGTTGTAATTTTTTTCGAAGGCATTCACATGAGTTTGATTCATTTGCTTTATCTTGACATACCCATGCCTCTTTGATTCCCTGCAACTTTTTTTAGATTTTTTTTTATTTTTAGATTGTAAATACATGAATTGATAAAAAATTTGATCAAATATAATAATGAGTCATTGAATGCTTAAGCACACTTCTCAATCCTAGTAAATGTTTTGTCATGTTAACAAATGTGTTGACAAATGTTGAATATTTGTCTCTTTAATAAATATTTAAAGAGGAATGATTTCAGGTTTATATTGGTTGTTTGAGGAAGGTATGATTATTGTCATGAGATTGGACTTTTGAGGAATTTAAACAATTGGTGGTGCCAAAGATCAGAGGTTTAGTCGAGCAACTGGTGGTACCATATTCGCATTCTCACTGTGATCAAAAATCATATCTAGAACTTAAAATAAAGCGCTTTACTGGAAATTGGCATTATTATTTTAGTTTAAATAGGAGAAAGAAAACTAGAGCTTGGTATGTTAAATAAAACTCAAAGTGTAGTCATTGTAGTAAAAGTGAAACGCTACGAGTGTGAAGTAAGGGAGATGGTAAGTGCAGTCAACGTTGATGTGGTGCTGAGAGACTGTTGATTTGGAGTGAATCGTAGTGGAGGGCTACCCGCTACACATAACCTAAAATGATTTTACGAAGTACTCCATCCGTCCAAACGTTTCTTTCTCATTTTGACTTGACGCGGAGATTAAGAAAAATTAAAAGGTGTAAAGACTTTCTATGTGTTGCCCTTGATTTTATGGAATAAACTGAATAATATAGACAAAATGTAAGGGTACAGTGACATATTCATTAAAAAAAATTTCTAAAATAGAAAACGAGAAAGAAATTTTTAGACCGTCGAAAAAGAAAAGTGAAAGAAATTAATAAACAGAGGGAGTATATTCTCTGCGTGACATTTGAATATTTACGTATACTATATAGATAGTAAAACTTTAACACTTTGTTTCTCTATTTTCGTTTCTCGTTTCAACTTCAAATTTCTTTATCATAATACAGAGTCAAGGGATTGGGATGGAGTAATATTTTTGCAAAAGAAAATTTTATTTATACTCCACGTTTGTACTACAATGGTTTGTGACATAAAATATAATTACAAAACTAATACTCCCTCCGTCCCGGAGTATTCGTCCACTTTTGACTTTTGGAATTGTTCAACTAAGCACTTTGACTCATCAAATTCTCTCAATGTGTAAGCCTAAATATAGTAATGTGTGATCTTGTTTGATTTGTTTTAACATATAGATTATTAATATATAATTTCTATAATTTTTTAATATACAAATTACAAGATAAAATGGATTAAAGAAGTGTATTGAATGATGTGTAAAAATGAAAGTAGATGGGACGGACGTAGTATTATACTCTCTAAAACATAAAATGAGATACAAAATGGACTGAGAGTAGTACAACCCTTTTGCAAATGTCATTTTGGATCTGAGCTAGGAGAGTTTGTTTTCCATTTATTTAAGGGTCATGTCACCGCTAAGGCACAAACACTGAAACACAATGGCATCTTTCACCTGTCTCGTCTTGTCCTTCCTCACTGTTCTATCCATTTCTTCCTCGGGTGAATTTCCATCAGTGCAATTTTTGAAAAACCATTCCCAAATGGTGAAGGGGAGTCTGACATTGCGCAGAGTGGTCATATTTAAGCATTAACGGGACTGCTAGTACCGTAATTTTATTTTTTTTAGATTAACGGTACAGCCAGTACCGTTAATCTATTGGTTATTTATAATTACGAAATTAAATACATCCCTTTGTTAGATATTGGCATTAAATTTGAACAATAATAAAATTTTTATTAATTTGATGCACTCCTACTGAAATAAAAAGCATACAAATAAAAGTTGTCGTACATATATAAAAATCCCACTTTGAAATTTATAATTTAACTATGTTCCCCGACGATGTCTTCGTGCTCGCATATCCATATTATTTGTGAAACGAGTACTCACTCGCCGACCGGCCTGTGACTTTTGCCCTGTAAATGGATGGACTAATTCATAACCAAGGGTAGGCCATTCAATTTCGTTTTGTAGTGGCATAACACTTCCAGAATATGCATCAAGATAATTCTGAAGTGAAAACACTCGTGGGATGAGATCATCAACAGTATTGTTGCAATAACGACATACGGCATAGACATGCACACATGGCATGTTCAATGTGGCCCATTTCCCGCAAGTGCACAATTTTTGGCCCAGATGCACGACAATCTCATCTAATCTACCGGTAGCTCCAGCGTTACCCTCAACAACGACCCGATAAATCCCTTGTTGCGGATGATGTGGGATAACATGCATGGCAATGTAAACGATGGTCTTCTATGCGTCTCACCTCGTTCCAAATATATTTTGGGAACTTAAATCCCGCTTGTAGCCA